TTGAACTCCAGCTCGGCATCCAGGCAAGAGAGAGAGTACCTGGACATTCAATCCTTGGACAAATATGCCCTCCTCCGACGATCTGGAACATACGACCCTCCCAGCTACCTCCCTGATGCCGACGATGCCGCCGCAGCTGAAGATTTCCGCTCCAACCTCAAGGCAATCGGCATCAAGGGCCAAAAGCTGACTAGCCTCATCAGCTGTCTCACAGGCCTGTTGAAGCTCGGCAACACCCTCGACTATTTCATGGATGAGGAATCGCTAGCTGCGGTATGTGAGGATGTTGAGACACTCATGGATCTACCCGAAGGTACCCTTCGCCAGAAGCTGGGATCCAACGAGCGCGAAATTGCTATTGGTGGCATCTATGAAGCCATCGTCGACTACGTTGTTGCCCACGCCAACACCTCGATCAAGGAGGACATCCGCCGTGCCAAGTCCGGATTCGCTATGGACGACAGTGACGGCAGCGGCATGATGACGCCTAACGAGTCCGAGGATGGAGACATTGTTAACATCACTGTCGTTGAGATTCCCAGTCGCTCGTTGGGCAAAGCGATTGCGCTGCGTACTGTCTTTGACGACAGCGAAGGCATCAATGCTGAGATGCGAGACGACGGTGTACAAGTGCCGCCTGTTGGTAACTCCGTTCTCGAGGCCATGCGCGAGGCCATGCAAAGCTGTGCAGTCGAGCTCGGCCTCAATGGACCTGCTCTCCGCGAGAAGGAGACCGAATTGGAGAAGCGCGAGACTGTATTGGACAAGCTCGCACTCGAGATCCCAGAGGAGGATAACTTCGTGAAACAGATGCTCTATCCGGTACCTAACAGCGGCGTAGTCCTAGGCAAGCACGGCCGTTTCGACCTGGCCATGACAGTCGCAAGTAGCAGAGTTTGGTTCCAGCTGGCTATTCATCCCTCAGATTCTATCCCCGCTTCGCTGAACCAGGATCTCAATTCTACATGGCAGGCCGGTGTGGTATCCCGACAACTCCGTGAGTGGCGATTACCCGAGTGGGCAAATCGCCGCAACCGCAATCTTGATTTCACTGCCGATTTTGACCACCACGAGTTCTATGACCGATATGCTCCACTAGGTTGCATGGACGGCCAAGAGGGCATCCAAAACTGGATTCTGCAACGCGGCTGGAGTAACGGCGAAGTCATGGTAGGCAAGGAGCGCGTCTGGGTGAGGGAGGGCACATGGTGGGAGGCTGAATCGCAGCTTGACCTCAAGACACAAGAGATGGGCGGTTCTCCCAACATGCTTGGTGGCATGATTGGAGCTGCTGGCATGGAGAATGGATACCCCACTCAGCTCCCGCCTACAGCAAGCGCCTTCTTTCCACCTCTTCCAGACATGTCTGCTACTCCCCAGAACCCTTTCCAGAGCTCTACAAGTCTGGCTGTGCCGGGGGCTGCAGATGCTAAGTCAATCGCCCCTACTACACACACCCTTCCCACGACGGGTCCCGGTGATTACGGTCTCGGAATGAAGGGCGACGAGAACAAAGGCGTCACTTACTATGACATGGAGTCAGGTGGTAATGCCGTCGTCACTGAAACCCCTCTCACCGGTACTCGAAGGCTCTGGGTCGCATTTGTTTGGGCCCTCACCTTCTGGATCCCTTCACCACTCCTCAAGTGGTTTGGTCGTATGAAGCGACCTGATGTGCGCATGGCATGGCGTGAGAAGTTTGTCTTGGTCATGCTCATCGTGTTGCTAAACGCCATTATCATTTTCTATATGGTCGCTTTCGGTAAACTCTTGTGCCCTAATAAGGACAAGGTCTGGAACACCAAGGAAGTATCGCAGCATCAAGGCGAGGATGATTACTTCGTCAGTCATCGCGGTGTAGTTTACGACCTGACTTCTTTCTGGAAAAAGCAGCACAGCGACTCCAACACCGAGGCTACTCGGGATCGGATGATGGAAATGGCTGGTGCCAACATGGACCCATACATTATCCCCCCACTATGGATTGCTTGCCCTAATCTGATCCCAGAAACCGATCAGAACAAGGTCCTTCAGCTGACTCTCAACGAATCTACGACTGAGAATCTCAATTCGATCGCCGTGCATAAGTCTGGTTCGATGACCAACATGCCGGACAGCAACGCGTTGAAGAGCGAGACATGGTACCCTGATGTCTTCCTCCCCGCTATGAAGGAATTCAGGAAAGGAGATCTCGTCTGGGCAGAGGACAAAGTCAAGAATGAAGGCGAAGACGATAATCACATGTGGTTCAGGCTCGACGAGAAGATTTACGACTTGACCGACTATTTCGCCACAATCGACTATATGCAGAACCAGGCTCAGTACAACTTCCTCGATGCCAAGTTGGTCGATATGGTAAAGAGCAACGCTGGCCAGAATCTAAAGGAGGACTGGGACAACAACCTGAACAAGACAACGCGAGAGAATAACCTGCAATGTCTGGAAAACCTGTTCTACGTTGGCAAAACCGACTTCCGCAAGACGGCCAGATGCACGGTAAACGACTACATCCTACTAGCCTTCACCATCATTATCTGCTCGGTCATTGTCATCAAGTTTTTAGCTGCCCTTCAACTGGGCTCTCGCAAACGACCTGCGAACCAGGATAAGTTCGTCATCTGCCAAGTGCCAGCCTATACCGAAGGCGAAGACTCACTCCGGAAGAGTTTAGACTCTCTTACCGCCCTCTCTTATGACAACAAGCGAAAGCTCATCTGCGTCATTTGCGACGGAATGATTGTTGGTGGCGGTAACGATCGCCCTACGCCCAAGATTGTACTAGATATCCTTGGCGTTGATCCCAAGGTCGACCCTCCTGCGCTCCCATTTTGGTCGGTAGGTGAAGGCAGTCAGCAGCTTAACTACGGAAAGGTCTACTCGGGACTATACGAGTTCGAAGGCAATGTTGTACCATACATTGTCGTTGTTAAGATGGGTAAAGAGTCGGAACAGCACAAGTCCAAGCCAGGTAACCGAGGAAAGCGCGACTCCCAAATCTTGCTTATGAGCTTCCTCAACCGCGTCCACCACCGTTCCGCTATGAACCCCTTGGAGCTGGAAATGTTTCACCAAATCAACAATATCATTGGTGTTGACCCAGAGCTATACGAGTATCTGCTCATGATTGACGCTGATACCATGGTCAAGCCTGATTCACTCAACCGTCTTGTAGCGGCTTGTGCCAACGACTCAAAGATCGCCGGTATCTGCGGTGAGACGAGCTTGGAGAACGAAGACAGATCGTGGTGGACTATGATCCAGGTTTACGAGTACTACATCTCGCATCATCTGTCAAAGGCCTTTGAAAGTTTGTTTGGTAGTGTCACCTGTTTGCCTGGATGGTAAGTACTCGATCCCACCTTGATCAGATGGTGCTAACCCTCTTCAGTTTCACCATGTATCGTCTACGCACAGCCGACAAGGGCAAACCCCTCATCATCTCGGATAAGATCATAAAGGACTACGCTGACTGCGTTGTGGACACGCTGCACAAGAAGAACCTCCTCTCACTTGGTGAGGATCGTTACCTGACCACTCTGATGACGAAGTACTTCCCTGCCATGTCTTACAAGTTCATCCCCGATGCGTACGCTCTCACGGCTGCCCCTGACACGTGGAGCATTCTCCTCTCCCAGAGACGTCGATGGATCAATTCGACGATTCACAACTTGGCCGAACTTGTCTTCCTCAAGGACCTATGCGGTTTCTGCTGTTTCTCTATGCGATTTGTTGTCTTCATCGACCTCTTCGGTACCCTTGTCCTTCCATCTGTCTGTGCGTACCTGGTGTATCTCGTCTACACCGTCTCCACGGGCAAGGGTCAATTCCCCATGTTCTCCATTATCATGTTGGCAGGTGTCTATGGTCTCCAGGCGCTCATCTTCATCATCAAGCGACAATGGCAACACGTCGGATGGATGATCATTTACATCCTAGCCTTCCCCATCTACTCTCTCGCTCTTCCTCTGTACTCTTTCTGGAAACAGGACGACTTCTCATGGGGTAACACGCGTGTCGTCATTGGCGAGCAAGGTGCCAAGCAGGTTCTCACTACAGATGACGAAGGTTTTGATCCCAAGGCCATTCCTATGATGCGATGGGACGAGTATGCTGAGCGCAACGAACTTCCTGGTCGGCGCGGTCTTCCTGGTATGACTACTGAGAAGGGTGGATTCAGCGCATACGAAGACGAAGCGTACGAGATGAACGACATGCAATCTGTCTACTCTTCGGTCAAGCCTGCTTCAACCATCATGTCCAACATGCAGCACATTTCGCACATGCCACCGCAGTCGCCTGGTCCATATCAAGGCATGCAAACGCGTCAATCGACCTACTCGAACATGTCACGCTACCAAGACAACCCGCACCAGAACCGTGTCATGTCTATGAGCAACATGAGCGACATGTACAGTGGCAATAACGCTTCTCCTTATGGTCAACGGCAAAGCATGGGCGGCTTCCAGAGCTCGGATAACCTGATGACATCATCTACGCCACCGGTCCGTGGCCGCAGTCCTCTCAGCTACGGCGCAAGCATGTCACGACCTGGTAGCACAACCAACTTCCAGAGCATGATGAACGGGCCGACGGATGGGCAGATTATCGAGACCGTTCAGGCATGTCTCAAAGACGCGGACCTCGACAGGGTCACTCGCAAGCAAATCATTGCGCTTGCGGAGCAACGGCTGCAGATGCAGCTGAGTGGCGAGAGGAAGATTTTTCTCACGCAGGCCATTGACCATGAGCTTGCCAACATGGGATAGGAAGAAATTTGAGAATTGATTGCATTTAGCGGTGTTATCTGGATATGTTTGCACGGCAGTAACGCCATTTAGTCGTTCCTTTTTGGAAAATCATGTGTCTTTACATCTGGCGCAAAATTTACATGGGAAAACTCGGGTGTCTGGGGAGCTAGCTAGGCTGTGTTTACATCATTGGCTTGATGTAATGATAATAGGACATTGTTGTTGCATATATTGTTCTACCCATTTGCGTGACTTTAGGCGTTGGTTGGTTAGCCTGCAGCAGTGGCCGCACGGCTAGCGTCAGGTAGCTACGTACCCCAGCCCAGCAGTCGCGCGGCTAGAGCTCCGCCTTGCCGGCATCCCGTAACCAGGACGCCCGAATCTCACCACGACGACGTACACAAACCCGCCCTACCGACCTCTCTATCCTCCAACCTGATACTCGCCACATCCACTTCAGTGCCCAAACATGGCGCCAAACCGCATCGAGCAAGACGAGATCGAGAAGTACTGGGAGATATTCAGTTCGCTCAGCAATGGCGGCACCCACCTCGACGGCGCACAGGCAGCGCCTGTCCTCAAGAACTCACATTTGCGCGATGACCAGCTGGAGAGGGTGTGGGACCTGGCGGATGTGGACAACGATGGCAAGCTCGACTTTGAGGAGTTCTGTGTTGCCATGAGACTCATCTTTGACTTGATCAATGGGGTATGTTTCTTCGAGACGCGCCATCTGGAGGAACCCATGCGCTGATGGACATGTCTTAGATCTCGGTCGATGTACCCAAAGTCCTCCCCGACTGGCTTGTCCCCGAATCAAAAGCCCATCTCGTGCAAGCCACGCGCGCCCTCTCCGGCTCCCAGCCCGCCTACGAGACCGTCCACGACGACGACGATACCCCCGGTCTGCGCGACGGCTTCGACTGGTACATGTCGCCGTCCGACAAGGCCAAGTACGAGGAGATCTACACGGCGAACCGCGACGGCCACGGCAACATTACCTTCGATAGCTTAGCCGGCCTATTCGAGAGCTTAGACAATGTTCCAGACTCGGACGTGCGATTTGCGTGGAACTTGGTAAACCCAAAAGCAAGAGAAAGCGTGGGCAAGGACGCCGCACTAGCCTTCCTCCACATACTCAACCAGCGCAGCGAAGGCTTCCGCGTACCTCGCAGCGTGCCACCCAGCCTACGGGCTAGCTTCGAGAAAGCCCACATCGACTACGACATTGAATCAAATGCAAACTCACGATGGGCCGCCACACGCGACGAGAACACCGCCACGGGCCGCAAAGCCAAGTTTGGCGACGCATACCTCACACGTCTGGGTGTCGGCGACCGTGCCGCAAACTACGGTGCGCGAGGAGGCAAAGGCACAGATTTCGGCGGTCGCACAACAGAAGACTGGGAAGAAGTCCGGCTGAAGAAACAACTGCGCGAGCTCGAGCAGAAGATTGCCGACGTCGAGAAGGAGGCGGAGAACAGACGGCATGGCAGGAGCAAGGATAGTAAGCCGGCCCTCGTTAAGCGCGAGCTGGAGCTCCTGCTTGATTACAAGAGGAACGTATTGAAGGATTTGGACAATGATGAAGGTGGCGCGGTCAAGGGGCTTGGTGGAATCAGGGACGAGATTGAGACGGTTAGGGAACAGGTTGAGGGATTGCAGGGACATCTCGACAACAGGAAGAGTGTCTTGGAGGATCTGAGGAGGCAGATTGATGATGAGAAGGCGAGGTGAGGGGCTATGGAGACAGTGTGCTGCGTCAGCCGGTGGTGTTGTAAATATGTTTAGCTCTGGGTTTTCGAAGCTGATGGAACAGCAAGTCGTCTTTGAAACACAACATCTTACATTCTTGTGCATACTTCTTCAAGTTTGTTCAGTCTGTGCTTCCAAATGCCTCTAACTCTAGTCTCAACACACCGCCATACACAAAGGCCTCACTGGCCCTTCTTTCCAAGCCTTGTAAACAACTCTGGATGATCAATAGCATACTGTGCCCCGGCAGCCCAATGATACAACTTCGCCGCAATAACATACCCCTCTTTGGCAAACTCCTCCAGCCTGTCATACAATTCGGCAATAGGGATATTCACTCTCTGGATGTCCTCCCCTTCATCGAGATGCTGCTCTGGCTCCGGATCGCCCTCATTCAAATGAATCTCTACCATGCACAAGCAAAGATTTGCAGACGTCATCCCTGGATCCGCAGCCACAGGTGGGGAAGTCGAAATCACTTTCCCCTTGTAACCTGTTTCCTCATAGAGTTCACGTACGGCAGCTTCTTCAGGCTTCTCATCTGCGTCGATAAGTCCCGCAGGCCATTCTACCGTGAAGCCACCAACGGGTGGTCTGAATTGGATGACGACGATTGTAGAGGGGGGTTTGCTGGGGTGATAGATGATGTTTCCCATTGCGACGGCGTCCACGCCGGCGGAACCTGTCGTTTTCCGAGAGGCAATTTCCCAGATGCGTTCTTTGCCTTTCGCGTCGACATATGTGGCCTTTTGTAGTTTGACCCATTTTGCATCCGAGGAGGGCAGGTCAACGACCGAGGTCACTTTGGGAGTGCCAGTGGAAGACGCCATTGTGACTTTGTTGACGCGGTCGACGAGTGGTGAGGCAAGGCTGCGACTCGTTCTGTGGAGAGACCTTTTTGGTAGGATATATGTGCTTGCGCGTGATATTGTTCGTTTGGTGAGGGGCGTCAACATTGGCCTTTGAGCGGTATCGGGGAATTGGTCATTAGAGTACCGATGACGTTATCGTGTTCGAAGGCAACAAGCACCACAGATGTCAGTGGAGCACGTAGTTGTGACCACAGAACCTCCAACTCCTGCTCTGTGAGTTCGAGATAGTCGAATATATAGCCTGGTATATTATATGAATTAGGCGCAGTCTCACAACGCCAGTTGAGGTAATAATTGGAAGACCCCACTCTGTTTAGCGTCAGGAACGGCAATTCACGTAACGTCATCCAAAATGCCTCCAAGCCACCGATAAGCCTCACCTATCAAGACTGCTACTGCACCTAGTTCAGCTCTGTCGCTATTGCTTAGTCTGGGCTTATGTTATTCACTCGTCGCTGTCTGTTTCGTAACAAAGTCCGTTGAGGTTTCATCGTTCTTTCTCGATTTTTTCATCATGGCATCGTTGCGCGTTCTTACTCGATCTTCGTTGCATACTAGAACCGTACTCTCAAGCTCAAGACATTTCTCATCAAGCATACAACGAGATGCAGACTTTACCCACGCTGTGATAGGTGGCGGCGTAGTCGGCCTAGCTATAGCCCGCAAACTGCAACAGAGAGATGGCGCATCAACAGTTTTGATAGAGAAGCATGGCTCCGTCGGTACAGAGACCAGCTCGCGGAACAGCGAAGTCATACATGCTGGTCTCTACTACGGGCCCACGTCCCTCAAAACGAAATTATGTCTTAGAGGAAAAGATATGTTGTACGAGCTGTGCAAGAAAAATGATATTCCACACCGCAACACCGGGAAATGGATCGTCGCGCAAGACGCAGCGCAAATGGACGCTCTACAGAAGGTCCACGACTTCGCAAAGAGCATCAACGTCCCGATTCACTTTCTCAGCAAAGATGAGGCGAAAAGTCGAGAACCTGATGTCAGAGCCGAGGCCGGGGTACTAGAAAGTCCCAGTACCGGGATCGTAGATTCTCACAGCTTGATGCAATACCTCGAAGGTGACTTTGAGGACCATGGCGGAATCTGCGCCTTCAAATCCCCAGTCACACACATCACACCTCTCGACTCTGGACATAGTGGCTGGGAAGTCACGACCAGGGGGGAAGATGGCGAAGAAACCACCATAACAGCGGACACCTTGATAAACTCTGCCGGTCTCTTCGCCGTCCAAATTTCAAACATGATTCTACCCAAAGATCGGCATCGAAAAGCCTTCTATGCAAAAGGCTCTTACTTCTCTTATGCAGTATCCCGTCCCCGTCCTTCGACTCTTGTCTACCCTGCTCCAGTTCCAGGCCACGGCGGTCTAGGGACTCACCTCACCCTCGACATGTCCGGGCGCATTCGCTTTGGCCCAGACGTCGATTGGACAGATTCGCCTACCGATTACGCGCCCAACACCAAGAACATGGCGCAGGCTATCGATGACATTCAAACATACCTACCTGGTGTGCATAGAGAAGCCATTCAGCCGGACTATGTAGGCATACGACCGAAGTTGGGAAAGCTTGCAGCGACGAGTGGAAAGGACTTTCAGGACTTTGTTATTCAAAAAGAGGATGGGTATGAGGGTTTTGTCAACTTGTTGGCCATTGAAAGTCCTGGGTTGACTAGTAGTTTGGCCATCGCAGAGGAGGTAGAGGGACTGCTGTATACGTAATAATGACGATTCCTGTGAGTAACCTGCCCGAGGCAGGTACAGAAGTCAGATTGGGGGGATGATATTGCTTTTTCTTTTCCAACAAAAAACACTACACGGCGAAAACACACGAGTATGGCAGAAATAATATTTCCATTCAGCGTCTTGTGCAAACGTTCATTTTAGACATTACGCAGAAAAGGTGATGTGTATATGATCCATCACATAGCTCCTACAACATATATACCAAGAGGCATCTGAGAGCGAACCAAGTCATGAACTAACCAACAATCACGCCGTGTGGCTGATCCGTAATTTTTGATGCCACACACCCCACCGTCATGTAATGATATGATAATATGTACAGTAAGGAAAAGTTTTTGCGAGAAAAGACACTCGCGGTGTGTTGCGGTGCTCGCTGAAAACGCCGGGACATCCAATGCGCACGAAGTTTAATGATAGGAAAATGTTAATGCTGAAGTGTCGTTGACAAAGCCTTCTAGGCGGTAGATGGACGAAAGATCAAGACGCTAGATCAAAAGACGAAGAAAGGCGTTTACTTGCGGGGCTGCTGCTTGCTAAGACGCTTCCTCTTCTTGGAGTCGGTTGACTCGCTTCGTCCGTGATTTGACGCTGGCATCGTGGGCTGACCAAGCGGGGCAGGTGATACATCACGCATCAGGCTGCTTTGCTGTGGGGCCTGGAGCTCAATGCCGTCACCAGGTGCAGTGTGGACGTATTGGCGAGCAAGAGGACTGCGTCCCTGACGCTGCTCCATGCTGTTTGTCCTGTTGTACGAAGGCTTGGGCGACTCAAGACCGGTCTGCTGGTTGGATAGCGGCGATGTACGGACAGGGGCGTGAGCAAGGTCGCTGTTGGTACGCATCTGCGCAGGCCGTTGTGGGCCCTTGGACTGGTACACAGAGTCGTCATCGATGGAGTCGACCGACTCGCTGTACATGCCCTTACTAGCACCCGCACCGACTTCATATGGTCCTGACCGTGGCTCCTCGTAGAAGGCTCCACCGGCAGGCTTTTGTGTTTGTTGAGTCTTGTGGTAGATGCGCGCATCCTCGGGGTCCATGAAACTCTCGACACGGCGGGGCATGTAGATGGAGTTGGCGGCAGAAGTTTCTTGCGAAGCAAACGAGTCCATGGAGGAACGAGGGTGGAGAGGCACGTGAGGAACGTTGGGGTTGCGGGGCATTGTGTTGGGAAGCGTAAGGCCAGAGTCGTTGCCCTGCTGGTACCATCCGTTGGGTAGGCGTTCCGCAGCAGCAAAGCGACCCTCGATGTTCTCGCCAGGCTGGAGGGGGATAGGAGCTGGGCGGTGCTTGTGTGCTTCAGCAGCAGCCTTGAAGGTCTCAGGAACCACGTTCAGGTCATCGCCAGTAGCCTCAGCGGCCTCGATAGCCTCCTGGGGCGTAGTCTTGTTGTCAGCGCTACCGGCGTCGGCACGAGGACCACCCCATGTTCGTTGACCGGCAGTGAAGATACCGTAGACCATGTAGACCCAGTTGAAGAAAGGGTTGACGATGAACATGAGGGGGTACAGCATGATCTTGTAACGGCCGAGCTTGGCACCAAAGTAGAGCATGAGAAGCCAGTTGAGACCCAGAGAAATGGCAATGAAACCAACGGGAAGGTTGGCAACCTTTTGCGAGGTAGTGATCAAAGAGATACACAGGATGAAGAAGAGCAGCGCAGTCGTTCGGATGGTGTTCTGCATGAAGCGGACGATGAGGAGAATTGGGTAGCGCTTCCAGAGACGAATGTCAGTCAACATGCAAACTTCGTTGGTGATAAAACCCAAGAACCAGCGGCGGCGTTGCTTAAGCAGAGATTGGTAGGTTTGTACAGCTTCGGTTTTGCAGAAAGCTCCAGTGTTCATCTGAATCTGGTATCGTTCTTTGGCACCAATCATGAACAAGTGAGTGAGCCAGCGGTCCTCGCCCAGATGGCACTTGCCGTAGTCGAAGAGATCGTCGCATTGCTCGGCCTTGTCAGCGAAGTAGTACTTGGCCATTCTGCGGAAAGCAGAAAATCGAAGCATAGTGAGAGCACCGGGCAAGCAAGTGACGGCACCACAGCCGGACTCGACTGAACGCTCGAACAATTGACCGTGGACGTATTCCATATCTTGTAGAAGGGTGATGAGCGAGTTCTTTTCAGTTGTAGACGTAATAACACCAGTCTGAGCCAACATGTTCTTCTTGCTGCCAGGCTTGAGTTCCATCTCGTACATGAAGTTTTGAATGCAAGTCTTGTCGAGGATGCAGTCGGAGTCGATGAAGAGCACGAACAAGTTGTCGTTTCGCTTGAGATACTCGGAGTAAATCTTGTCGATGAGCTTGAAGGTCCTCTTCTGGCAGTGACGTTTACCACCGTGGGGGAAGCGGGAGATGGTAATGCGGCAGCTACGGTAGATGACATCGATAGACTTGGGGTATGTGTCGAGCGTAAGAGGGACGCCGAGCTTCTCGATGGTGTTCAGGTAAAGCTCGTCTTCCTGGTCTCCGTCGAAGGAGAGGAAGATGTGCAGACAGGAAGGTGGGTATTCACAGTCTACCAGAGAGTCGCAGGTTCGGAGAAGAATCTCGGGAATTTCCTTGTAGCAAGGCATGATAATGACGACCTTGGGAGCGGATGACTCGTCGAGAACAGATTTGATCCTGCGGCTGCGACCAACGGAGTGGGTGACAAGCTGGTAAACACAGAACAGCCACGGAACAGTCAACAGACCGGCGAAAGACCAAAACGCGAACCACTGGAGGAAATCCACCATCTCCTGGGGGAAGTACTTTGTGACTTGCGAGGGAAGAGGCAGGGTAACGACCATGATTGGCAAGAAGATGGCACTGTTGCTGTTAGACTTGGTTGTCATGCGAGGACTAGAATGCTTACCGGAGCGCGAAGAAGAGGATACCGAAGAAAATGGACAAGATGCGAACACTGATCGTCTCTGCCTTTTGGAAGACCTTGACAATGCAGTACAGGAAAGCGGCAACCCAAAGGAACCACTCGAGCAGAGCAGCCAACATGAGACCACCAATGATAGCAACATAGGCAATCTATTGCAGTCAGTTTCAGTACCGAGACGATCGGCAGGCGATGTACTCACATCCTTAGCTGGCCAAGGGTCGGTAATGTCTGGGATAGAGCCGTCGACCTCAGCGCGGGCAACCACCGCGCGGGCGGCGAGGCCCATCATCTCCTGCCAAACCATGGCGGGATATTAGGTATGTATATTCGTAGTTGTCGTTAGGCGGGATAGCGAGTGAGGCGGGTCGAGTAGAGGGGAAGATGTTGAGTAACAAAGAACCCAACAGTCGCACAAGGCTAGATGACTAGTCCAAGTAGCGGAGAGGGGGAAAACGTAAATCCAGAAATGTTGGAGAGCCGAGAAAACTACTAGTAGTGGTGAGGTATTGGTGTTTGGCGGTGGTAGTAGTAGTAGTTGTGATGTAAGCGGATGGTGAGTCTTCGCAGCGCCCAGATAAACGAGTGTAAGGGTGGGAAGGACAAGAAGGGCTCAGATCAAGATCATCAACAAGATAACAGGATACTGCACACAAGGGCAGTCCGGAGTCGTGTGGGAGGAGCGCCTTGAGGAGGGAAGGAACTTGCTACGAGGGGATCGAGCTGGTTTACAAGCACGAAAAGCGGGCGCGCTCGGTCCACATAGCCTTGACCCAAATTGACCTGGCTTTTCTGGGCAGCAGTCGAGATGCACGATCGTCACAGGGGCACTCCAACCACATCGGGCAAGCAGCCCGCGCTTTGATGTCGAAAGCGAGTTGCTTGCAGGCCTACGCCTGGTCTTAGTGGCCCCGACTCGTGCCAAACCACGCGCCGGCGGCACTATGCCTGCAGCCTCGCAGGTTATTTTGGGCGTCCCCATGCGCCGTCTACCGTTAGCTGTCTGAAGACTGCAGGCAAGGTGTTCCTCTCTGTTTCGCATGTTTCTCATCACAGATAGATGAGCCTTTTGGGCCTGCGTGTTTGAGGCACAATCAAGGGCATCGAGAGCCGCGGCACTGTCGCTGCCTCCGTGTTCAAGGACAAAGTCTGTCTCGTCCGGCAGGATGAGTCTCCAGCTCTCGCTTGACGTGGCACCATGGTGGTTGGAAATTCGCCTTCAATGCAATGCAGCTGGTGGCCTTTCATTGCCAAGCCATCTGGTAGCTTCGCGTGGACGCCGGGCGTTCAGGGGTCGGCATCGCTCACTGTCCTAGAGACATCTCCAACCAATAATGGCACCACGCCCTTGATGCCGCTCGTACTCCTCACGAGCGGCCCCAGAACATCGCGGTAGAGGCTTGGTTGTCACATTGTTCTATGGCTGGTGGCTGTCGCGAAAAAGAAGCCGTATCCCCTCATCCCTATTTCTTATTCCCTCTCCTTCCACAAGTCTTGGAGCTGCGAGCGCTAGGAAAATACTCGACGAGAATACGAGCTCACGGTGGGTATGCCAGGCCGACCCGCTCCAAAAAGCACGAAACGGCGACGGCGGCCCCCAACATCCATGGACACTGACAGGAGGAAACCTGTGCCGCTTCCGTCCGTACCGGTAATCATGAATTTTTGCATGTTCCACAGCTTGGTGGACCGCCCGCTCGTCATATCGCATATAGCAACGTCAACGTTGCAGCACTGGAGCCAGTCTTTGCCATATTTCCTTGAATAGATCTCGCCAACCCACTTCCGCTGAGGCTGAGGACGGCTCGCAATCGATAATGTCGTTGCGCACCGGCGTCGTCCCGTAGTATCGGACCTGCTTTTCCTGACCCGAGCACGACAAGGCGCTGATCCTTTTCGCTACCACGCTGTTCAATCTTGTTTGCTGTCGGCCCAACGGTTACGGATCGCCATCTGCACGTCTAGCATTGTTGACTTGTTTACAGCGGTGTACACATGCGGTTGAGCTGCCCCATGTTCGACATTCCTTCTGGAAGGACTGGGATCATGGCTCGTATGTCAATCTTACACGCCCGTGTCGCACATGAATCGCCGCTGTTGAGACGAGTGCGCTTACCGACATTCCGCAATAGCGCCGCGGCATATCGACATGCGATTTCGTACCGGACCCCTGAGCTGCAACCTGAGGCCTACGATATTTTGCTTTCTAGTGCGTCTGTTGACCAGTCAAGGACGAAAGAATGCGCCATGCGACGATTCTCAGGGGTGAATTGTTAGAGTTTGAAGCTAGGTAACCGTTTTCGCTCCCAGTTCCGCATCTATAAAAGCGCCACAGGGCTGAACTACGGGTAAAGCTCAAATTGAAGATGTCTTCGCCTAAGTGTGATATCGAATGTCATGTAGAGAAACAGCATGACTCTCATTGCTTGTGTCGGTACTTGATCTTGGTGGTGAATCTTCGAAAAGGTCTACCTGGGTACGACAATTCATGTCTCAGCGATGACTGACTCGGATTGTTGAGCTGCGCAAAGTGCATCGTTGGAACCCGCATTATCAGAACACCAATGTATAGTGATGTTAGACTGGTTGTCGAATCGTGACTAGCAGGTAATGTCTCGATGTATACAGATAAAGTCGGTTTGAGGGGCACTCTGGTGTGGAGAAGCCAATTTCGGCTTAGTCATTCACCTCGTCTGAACCGCGGGACATTTGGTGACGCACGGATGCTTCGATGCGTGAGCGAACTCGCTGCAGGTACAATTCACCAAACCACCCGCAACGTCGACAAGAAGCCTCTCGACAGCGGCATTGCCAGAGTCGCAAATACGCACGCTCTCACTCGAGCTTGTCTCACCGAGCCCGAACAAATGCAAGCAGCAACTGCGCCTGATATATTTCCCACCTTCCATGTGCGCGTATCATAACCGATCCGTGCTATCTACCGCCCCTCCACCACTGCGGCATCGCCTACTCCACCATGGAGAGGCATAGGAAGCGTATGTGTCCACGCTGTGTGCGGCAAAGAAATGCTAAAAACGTCTAGGCGAGCTTCGTGAATTAAACATACGCGCATGGGATGGCGACCAAGGTACATGGGCCAAGAATAGTTGCAGTCGCAGCCCTTATGCTGACCATGTACACAGACATCTTCGCCGTGCAGGCCTCCCTCGACTCGTCCATGAAAAAGAATACGGCCTTCATCAAACGCCTGCGAACCGCCGTAAACGCAGCCGCTCAAGCGCAGTTCCTCCAAGAAATCCGCGCCCTGTCCCTCCATAAATATCTGTCCGAAATTATCTCCGCCTGTTACGAAGGCCTGTGCAAGCTCAAGACTCCTGGAGAGATTGCTGCCGGTGTAGAAATTGTCAGCGCTCTCCATCAACGCTTCGGCCCGACAGAGTTCACAGGATACATTGGTTGGTATATTGGGAGGGGCCTAGCCACACCGGACAAGTCGCACCTGAAGACATTGGCACCCGAAGTGCGCGAGCGTGAGGAAAAGGAGCGCCTGGCCCGCCAGCGCATCCTCTTACGAGTCGCCACCGAACTCTGGCTCGTGGGTGTTCTGCGCAGCCTGGATGACGTAGCCCGACCTGAGGAAGCGAGCAAGGCCAAAGACAATGGCAAACTCGTTGAAGGCTCTACGAAGACAAAGTCGCGTGCTGATAATGCCGACGCTGAGCCTTTTCCGCTCGAGGTTCTAAAGGACATGCTGGGACACGATCGCGAACATGTCAATCTACCCCTCGTCGTCATCTTCGTCAAGGCTTTTGCTTGGGATATACTGGGTGCCAAGCCATCTTCTGCAGAGGGTCGCAAGACTGTGAACGAGGACGGGACTACAACTGCAGACAAAAACGGGGAGGCTTCTGGCGCTGAAGACGAGGAGCAAGATCCGCCCATAATCTCCTCAGACTTGCAACAGCGTTTCAGGAACATCCTTACCCGTTACTTCGAAGATGTCAAGACGCACCTCCTCCGCGACCAGAAACACATACTCAGCCAGGGCCGGAAGAACGCCGAAGCGTACGTCAAGTCTGGCGAGGTCTTCGAGGATCGCCAGTCCAACTACGAGAAGCAGATGAAGTCCCAAGAGCGATTGGTGACAAATGCGCAGATTCTCGCCGACGCTTTGGGTGTTGAGATGCCAGATCTCAAAGAGAAAGACAGTTCCGCAAACACGGGTGATGGTGCTATTGGCCTGGTCAAGGCGGGCGAATATCTGCGTGGCCAAAGCGATGGCGCCGGCATCTGGGAAGACGAGGAAGAGCGCCGTTTCTACGAAAATCTGATTGACCTGAAGGACCGCGTTCCTGGTATCCTACTTGAAGAAGTCAAGAAGAAGAAGACAGATGGTGATGAACAGGTTGGCAAGAAAATTGAGGCGAAGCCTGAGGCAATCGAGAAGGAGGCACCGGACGCTATAAATGACACAAAACCGGCCGATGGCGAGGACCAATCTACTGCTATCGCGAACAAATCCGTTGGAGCCCAGGTCGATGCCCTATTGGCACGCCTTCCAGAACTTGCAACAAAGGATGCTGTCGACCAGACTGCCATGGACTTTTGCTTTCTGAACTCAAAAGCTTCCCGCAACCGCCTCATCAAGGCCGTACAAGAGATTCCAAAGGGCCGATCCGATCTACTCCCTCTATACTCTAGACTCATTGCAACCCTCGGAAAATACATGGCAGACGTTTCTCAGGGGCTGGTATCCTACCTCGACGACGAGTTCAGAAGCCTGCAGCGGCGAAAGTCGAAAGATTTCCTGGGACAGGTGCGAACACAGAACGTACGCTACCTTGCAGAGTTGACCAAGTTCGGTGTCGTTCCTGAGCATGTCATCTTCCACTGTTTAAAAGTCAGCCTTGACGACTTCTCACGAATGAACATCGAAATCATATGCAATCTATTAGAGAATTGCGGACGTTATCTGCTTCGGAACCCCGAAACTTCTCCCCGTATGCATTCTTTTCTAGAAACCCTCCAACGCAAGAAGGGTGCTCAGGTTATTGGTCAACAAGAGCGCATGTTGATCGAGAACGCTGTGTATTACGTAAATCCGCCAGAGCGTGCGGCAATCGAACAGAAAGAACGGACACCAGTCGAGCTCTTCCTGCGCAAGATCATGTACCAAGACCTGACTCGTCGTACGCTTGACAAAACCATTAAGCAGGTACGCAAGATGCACTGGGAGGAAGAGGAGGTAGTCAATCTCCTCCATAAGGTTTTTGCAAAGCCGGGGAAGATCAAGTACAGCAATATCCACTTGCTAGCCGTTATGCTGGGGACAATCCATCGGTTTCACCAAGACTTCGCCATCTCAGTCATCGATGATCTTCTCGAATCTATCACATTCGGATTAGAATTGAACGACTTCAAGTTCAACCAACGCCGAATTTCAGAAGTCAAGTACCTTGGTGAATTGTACATCTACCGGTTAGTCGACTCGCCTCTCATTTTCGACACTCTGTACAAGCTTTTGAATTACGGATGGGAAGGTGGGTATGCGCGGCCCGGGGGATACAACCCTCTGGACCTTTCCGACGACTATTTCCGTATTCGCCTTGTCTGTAATCTCTTGGAGACCTGTGGCATGTATTACGACAAAGGCGCGGCGAAGAAGAAGCTTGACTTCTTTCTCACGTACCTGCAGTATTACGTGTGCATCAAGGAGGCGTTGCCGATGGACGTTGAGTTCATCGTGCAAGATGCTTTCAACCTAGTGAGACCGCAGTGGAAGATAGTCACCAACCTGGAAGAAGCTTCACGTGTCTTTGCAGAAGCCGTCAAACAGAACTACCAAACAGCGTCAGCCGACAAGCCTGTAGAGCCTGACGAGGACGACATGTCCGCATCGGACGATGACCTGGATGGTGCCGAAGACGAGGACGTTGTATTGCCTGACGGCGAAGGAGATAAGTCATCTGGCGATGAAGATGAGGACTCCGACGATGACGAGCCTATGAAACAAACATCTTCGGACGAAGAAGAAGAGCAGATTGTGGTCACACGGCAGGAAGACGAACGCGACCCAGAAGCTGATGCTGAGTTCGATCGTGAGCTTGCTAAGCTGATGTCAGAAAGTGCAGAGTCCCGCAAGCATGACCGCAAGCCTGTCTTCGATGTGCCACTTCCAATGCGTCGCGCTCGCGAGGCTCCGGTGAGCGCTGACGACGTTGGTAGCGAGGTACCCGTTCCAGTCGCACCAGCTCCCTCGCAGACGATGAAATTCTCGTTGCTCAGCAAGCGCGGCAACAGGACGCAGACCCGATCTATTGACCTGCCCTCTGACTCAACCTTTGCTGTCGCTATGCGTAACAAGCAGCAAGCAGATACAGAAGAACGACAGCGAATCAAGAGCCTCGTCTTAAACTACAACGAAGCTCGCGATGATGCTGATGACACGACTGGTGATTCACCATTTCATTACACCCTCTCGCCTAATACCAATAGAATACGTACTGAAACTTTTCAAGGTCTGGACAAGACTCCGAACCCATACGCGCAGCCGCGCCTTGATAAAGCTGGTGCAAACCGCAGCAATCAGCGTGCACGGAAGCTACAGCTGTCAGATGTCAACTGGTATGACTCCCAACCCTCTCCCCGGCAGAGTCGCCCTGAGCCTGGTGCAACGTCTGCTTCGATGCATACGCCGCTTTCGGTGTTCACATCGAAGCGTTGAGACGATGTGCGAGTCCAGGCTTCTCACAAGCTCTACAACGCTTGCAGTCGACATTGATCATCCGCGACCATTTCGGAAGCGCTCTTCATCTTCACGAGGCTAACTACGAGGCCCTCCGTGGGCGACTGATTTTCTAGGACATGATTATCATCTATGATGCTGCAGCTAGCATCCAATACGAACGACACAACAGCTCACTATGCTTACAACTGCTACTTCGACAGTATGTCACCAATGGTAGGTATTACCTGAAGACAAGCAACCGTCCCGGTATCGAAGCTTCATCCTCCAAGCGAAAAGATAGCTTTGACGAACTAGAAATATCTTAGTTTGCGCGCGAGTACCGTTGGAGCAGGTGAGTCTGCTACGCCGACATATGGATATTCCGACAACGAAGCTTGCGACAGGCGACGCTCGAGCCGGGGGAAGAGCGACAATGGATCAGCGTCTGTCTACATGCCTATCAAACGACATGTCTTGTCCTACCCACTGCATATGGCAGGATAAGGAACGTGACGGCTTTTCGTGGCGGGAATGAGCGTTTCACTGGCAGTACATTGCTTCAAAAAAAAACGTTCGTGGCTATAGCAATTGAAACAGTCATCGTTCTAATCTATGCTTTTCTATCCGCTTTCGTGTGCAGTAAAACTCACTGCATGCTCGTCTCTTCTTGAGTGCATCTGGTCCCCCGTGTGATTACAGACAATATGCACGTTCATAGATAACAGCGAATAAGTGATGACGTCCAAGCCTCTAGCATGCGCGATCGGTGCGGCGCGCTAGTGAAGCGCGTACCTTGCAGAACCATCTACGTCACTGAAAACAAAACGTCAAAACCGCGCAAATGCCCCGTCAAAACCTTTCATCATAGGTCAATTGACCTGGTATAATTATCGGTTCGCGACAACACCTCACAATTGCTCGCATCACAAGTCTAATGTCTAATATGCTGTCTCTTGCGCTCGCGCTGGTAGGATCAGCCTCGGCTTTAACATTGCCGACATTCCTCCAAAGCCAGAGTCAAGCTCAATCACCACTTCGGCCTCTGGACCATTCGCAAAACTACAAGTTTGATCCTTTGTTGCATCTCCCTGGTATCTCGCCATACTTTGATGCAGTCGGTGTGTACCATTCTCTGAAGCTGCAGGATAAGCCCAATCTGACTCCATACACAGGTTTTGGTCTCGAGCACCAACCTCCCATCGGCTGCAACGTCACCGCCGCATCGTACATCATCCGACACGGTGCCATCTACTCCAACGACGCTGAATACGAGGAATACATCAAGCCTTTCCTCTGGAAGCTCGAACAACATCGCCAAGGATGGACTGGCCCATTGGCCTTCATGGAGAAGTGGCAGTCCCCAATCTTGGAAGATAGGTTGGAGGAACTGACACCCTCTGGCGCTGTGGATGCTGAGCTGGTAGGCAAGCATCTGTTGCAACGATACCATCACCTCGTCCCAGACACGAAGAGGATATTGGCAGACAAGAAGAGCAGGACGTTTGACACGGCTGAGAACTTTGTCAAGGCGTTCCCGCAAAAGGACGACATCGAGATCGTCAGGATTACGGAAAACACAAATGGAAGCATGGAGAGCTTGATTCCACACAAGTCGTGCAAAAACTTCTCCAAGAAACCTGGTGAGAAGCAGCAGAAGAAGGTCATCGATCTCTATGGTGCTAGCGTCGCGCATCGCCTCTCGCCTTACACACCGCTCAAGCTTGAGCCCAAGGATGTTGTCGGCTTCCAAATGCTGTGTGGTTACGAGTCTGCTATCAAGGGCGAGCGAAGCCCCATCTGCGAGCAATTCACAGACTCGGAATGGATGGCGTACGAGTACGCATGGGACCTGAAATATGCCTACATGGTCGGTCCTCTCAACCCTCTCTCTCCTTACCTCGGTTTCCCGTGGCTCCAGGCTCAATCTGAACTTTTCGCACACATTGAAAAGCATGACACACCCGGCGATGGCTGGCCCGATCAGCAGCGCTTCTTTCTCGGTTTCACTCATCGCGAAGTCCCGCCTTTCATCGCCACTGCTCTTGGGTTATTCAACAGCTCTTCCGACGCCGCAGAGCAGTTTCCCACCGACCACATCAACTGGACGCGTGCATGGAAGATGAGCGACCTGATTCCCTTCCTTGGCCACGTTGGTATGGAAAAGATGACCTGCGAGCGTGGTGGCGTTCATGGCGACGAGCCAGGCACCTATGTAAGATTCATTGCTAACTCTGCACCAAGGCCAATTCCTGATTGCCAGGATGGTCCCGGTGCGAGTTGCGAGTTTGGAATATTTAGAAAAATCATTGGAAAGGGCGCAAAGTCTCACAAGGACTTTCACAAGGTTTGCGATAAGAAGAAGTGCAAGGACGCTACTTGTGTAGAGGAGGAGGAGGTATAGGGATTGCGTTCCGCATCGACCTTTGGAGGACGGGCTGTATATACATCACCCTTGGAGTCTGCAATGCTGATTACAATCACCTTACGAAGAAGTTGGCCGATGTGTTTTCCCCTCTCTTTTCGCAACTTTTCGTAACGTTCAGGAACAACGCCTCAATCTTGTGAATTCGTTTTGTCCAGCAATGCACTGGTCAGCCCTGTTTGCTGCAGGCGTCATATGAACAATTCCACTATCAAGAAGTTGGGTACGTTCCATCCAAAGTTATCGTTACGCTACGCTATGTATAAACACCTACCAAAAATTGCAGAATGGCATGATGCCGCCGAAAATCGATAAACCTTCCCATATGCAAGGGATGATACATATAGCCTAAACATGGCCAAGACCAGTCCCATGCTGTGTCCCTCGCAGAAACACTATCGTTCGCGTGTCCCCATACGACAGCCATGTGCCTGTTCTCGACACATTTGTGCGGTTCGAGTATGCCGTTTCGTAGTAATCGTATACTGTCGTGCAATTACAAGGTCTAACAGAAGATGCCCCAAGCAACTTGCGGGGGTTCGTGCGCATGGTAGTTCGTCAATCGTTATCGTCCTTTGGTTTCAGGGCGTAGAGGTCAGCATTCGCTGTTAAGCTTGTGCTTTGGCCAGTCGTAACCAGTTTGATCCCATGACTGCTTTAAGTTAGTTGTCTGACTTTACGATAGCAAGGCAGATATGTACAGTAAATTTAGGATTGTTGTAAGCTCTTGGATGCTTTTTGATGTAGTCTGTAGTCTCGAAGCCTGGGGGATCGCACGTAACCATCTCCTCGCCTTTCTTCTGGTACCACCTCACGTAGTCGAAACGTATGGTAGTAGGAAAAACCAGGTTCTTCCAGTCGATCCAGGTCCACGAATTACTGAGACCCATGTTTAGAATGAGTGATAATGGTTCCTGCGCGATTTGGCGGGCCTGGATGTTGCCGTTTGGTCCTATAGCGCGCCCGTCCATGATAAACATTGTTTGGTCGCCCACTTTCCAGGATATATAAGCATCTTTGCCTTCTCCTGGAACATACTCGAAAGAGAACCGTTGATACTGCTTGTTATCGAACCAATCTTTGTTCAGTATCGTGGTGGCAGAGATGGCCTGTTGGAAGGCTCCGCCGGAGTAAGTGTTGAGTCCACTGTAACGAAGGTCTGGCAACGCCGTGTAGTTGTAATTTGGATAGTACCAGATATCGAATGGCGCAACTTGATAGCTTTGTGTCGCTATTGGAAGACCATTTGGACCTGGGTAGCCTGATGTGGCACCCACCTCAATGATATCGATCTCTGGCACTCCTCTTCCCGTCCCTGGTGTTGGATGATCCTCACCAGGGCAGGTGCACGAGTTCAGTCGTTGTCCAGGCAAGTGAGACAGGCCGTCAGGGCTAGATTGGTTGGGCGTGATGCCAGCGTCGCAAGCTTGGTAAGTGTAGGGCCACAGGCCATCGGTTGTACTCAAGTAGCCTGGCCGGCCGAGGTTGCCCATCGTCCACGCACCAGGCCAAAGTCCTTGTACACCGGCTGGACCTGGTAGTGATACTGAGACTTCGAAGATGCCACCTTTGAAGCACAGCTGGTTCCAACTGTTCAGCATTCCAGACCGAAACTTGAGGCCGTGATTGAAGAACTCTTCTAAGCGCAGCTGGAGTGTGCCGTCGTGGGTGGTAACAGCATCCGGATCGTACCATTCAATATCCTGCGTCGCACCATACCACACGTTGGGTGCATAGAAGTACGGGTCGTCTCCTTCGTAGAACGTACGATTGTTGTCGTTGAACTCGTCGCTGAAAACCAGCACGTATTCGTCGCCGAACTCCCCAGTTCTTGTTTTCACAGAGTCGGGTGTGTCCGGGTCAATCAGGCCCTTACGTATATTCTCCAAAAGTGGATATCTTTTGTTGTTGACTGTTGCCCAGATTTGAGGCCTCCATGGATTAGGAAACATACTCAGCGGCATGCCGTAGGCTGAATTATAATCGATAATGCCTACTGCGGAAAGCACTGGAAGTCCGACAAATATAAATAGTAGCCCACATATCATAAACGCTAAGCCGATGGTGGACATGATGCTGTCTCTTGTGAAATGGTCGCGTATCCTGGGTTTGAACTTGATGTCATCATCATCGCGAGGCATGTGCATTTCATCGTCAGCTTCCTCTTGATCGCATACTAGTGGCCAAGAGGCCATTCCCTTTTCCTCGTATGGCGCCGTCAATCTATCGTCAATAAAGGACACATTCTTCTTTGTGTCGTACAGGTCATGAGCATTTTCATTGAGTCCCGTCGCAGAGTCATTGGGCGTAAGAAACGGATTGGTCAGCGGTAAACCGGGCGGCGGAGTGGTGGTGCGCGAGTCCACACCCAGCCTACCGTAAGACCGACGTTCTGACAAGGAAGTCCTTCGACTACGGCTAGGAGTACTAGTGGCGGCGTCTGAGAAGGGATTGAAATAGCGAGTATAGTCGGTGCCCAGATCTTGTAACGTGAGTGGGGTGCCAGGAGAGCGAGGTGCTTGGCTTGACAAGTCTGTCGTACTCCTCGCCTTTGGTGTTCTCAGGTGAGTCCGGGGCGGAAGGCGCAAGTGAAGCCGACCCGCCGTGGTGCGCGGTCGATTCTTCTTCGTCTGCGTCTCATCGCTCGAGAGCATCTCGTTCCCTTCTGAGCTTTCATGGCTCGCCGATCTGGAGTTTGCAAGCGGCGAAGGCACAATAGGCGCGAAGGGCAAGGGGGAGGAGGAGCGCTCTGCCGACGGAAGGATGCCGAAATCGAAGCCATGATCAGAAGCTGGACTCTGACTGCCGCTCGAATGGCTAATCAGTGGCTTTTCGGCTGCTCCTGCTTGCTCGGATACTCCTTCTGTGTTGGTGTTGTGGGGAAACGCAACTTCCCGTTCTACACCTGAGCTCGACGACGACCGTCTAGGCTGCTCATCTCGACTTTGTGGTGATTCTGAGTATTCCGAGGATGTGTGCGAAGCGACCCTTCGTATGGACGCCATTGGCCCCGCTTCTTTGGGCAACGAGCGACCGAATGGTGTACGCGCCGGCGGTTTGCCCCACAGCCGGCCCTATGTTGTGCAGCTCACACCAATTGCGACGTTGTTAGTAGTGTTTTTGTCGATAGAACGCTTTGCTATGTATCGTATAGAATGGGCGAGCAGAGGATATCTGGAGGCGAAGAGCCGCGAGTGTACGGTGCCTGACGTTGAAGGGTAAGTTGCTAGTCGGAGAGCTTTGACGCGGTGGGACGTGAGGAGTGGATATAGCAGCTGTAAGTGAGCAACACAGAGAGCGGGGTGCTTGCGGGAGGGAAAGTCGTGAACGTGAGCGAAATAACTTCCAAGGGGTCCAGTGGTAGCAACAGTGAGTAGCGATGTTGGCCTGGCAAGCGCGTTGATTGTTTGAGTGGGAATACAAGCCTATAGCAGCTTTGATGGTGAAGGCGGATTGACGACCACACAGCCAATCACAGCTTCCCCAACGGTAGCCAACATGTAGCTGTCGCAGTCCCGAAGATAGGCAGGAACCGTTCCCTGCGCCTGTGCTGTGTTGCGCGTCGGACTCTCCTCATGCTTCCACCACACCCGGACCGTTGCTGGCACAACTCTGCTGTTTAGGACTGAAAAGGTGCCGTCACCGTCGCGACCGGAGAAGAGTCCCCAATTCATGATGTATTCGACTCGCATGTCGTACTTTGTTCCGATTGCTCGAACCGTGGAAGGCACGATAGATCAGTAACACGCTTACCTCATGACAGCCCTGATCCACTATCCTCGAGACGGACAGCCTCTGAAGGTACTTGAGACGTTACACAATAACGGTGTGCTTGTACACTTAGCACGAGGCAACCCGTACGTGCATTTCTCTTTTGATAAGTCGCAAGCATGTCAAGCCCGCATGTAGCACGATACCGCAAAACGTGCATGCTGTACGCGTACATATTCCAACATATCACAAAGGCGCCGTTTCTATAGTGAACAGTATCGGCGCGTCCGTCTCGACTCTTACATCGTTCGCTTTAACGTGGTTGCTCGTACTGACCTGGCCACCCATTTGTGTGTCCCACTCCTTGACATCCCACTCTAGCCCTTCGGTAGAGATAACCGCTGGCCCATATATAGGAAGAAACCCCACGTTCTCTGTGAAAGTGCCACTTTCTTGGATCCCTCTTAGCAGGGTCTCTCCGCTCCTCAGCACAAAACTCAGACTGGACTCGGAGAATAGCCATAAACGCAGGTCGGTATGTTGAGTCTGTTCCCTGTACATTTCGTTCAAGAGTCCAAGGCCCTGGTCAACCCTCCCACCCAAGGTACCAAGAACAATGACATCTCGCACAGCCGAGGAAGTAATACGCAACGAAATTTTTTGCATGCATTTTCCAAAATCTGTGCTGTACTGGTCACGGTCTCGTAACACAGGAACACCTCGTGCTTCGTAGTACTCACGTACATCATCGCGTAACGAGTCCAAGTCCCCATGAATCATATCGGGTAGCTACAAATATCAGCAACTGATATTGACATTAAAAACCACAATTCTACTCACGTATTGTTCGCGCTGCTGGATCAAATCATCTTTCAGCATATCGAAAAGTCTATTGGCGCCGCCATCGGCACATATGCGAAAGCCAGTGTGTTTCCAAAGACGTAAAAATGCAGTGAAGTGGGCTATTGGCTGATTTAAGATGAGAAGGTCAGGAGGATTCGAGGTTTTCTCGGGGTGGGCGCTTTCCGCGAGAAATCTAGCAGGGTACAACTCGCTGATCCCTCGTCCTGCCATGCTCTTGATGTCCCTAGGATGCTCAAAAATTGATGTAGTGATACAGGTGATAGCGTGAATGGAGCAGTTGATGAGATTGGTTGAAACTGCGGACCCTGGAGGATGTGCGTGATGCAGAGGCAGGCGCGATGCAGATGTGCCCGATCGACTAAGCTGCAAATGTGCTAGTCTCTACTCGTGCGAGCACCCCCTAGTGACCGTTAACATTCAGATATGTATAGCTACCACGGTTTCGATAGACACCCGCATCTCTTTGCGTACAATTCCATCTATATATGACGTGTTGGGTTCCACTCTCGGCTCCTCGCTGCTCGTTCCTGCAGCTATACGTGATGGGAAGCTGTGGTCTGCAGAGGTTTCTGATGGTGGCTGGCAAAACGGTATGCAAAACGCACGATGAAACCCCATTGTCATGGGAGTCGCAAATTTACAACCAATTGTATTCAGAAGCGACTAAGTCTAAAGATGATGACTCTTAGGAAAGAAGTTCCCACACAAGCTGTGCTCATGCAATGGCCCCATGTTGGTCAACTTTAGTTTACCTTTCGGACACTTGTTAGCTCACCGCTCGAATCCTTCGTAACGATAGAGCATCTGCGTCTATAACTACATCTGGGTATTATGGGCACTGCTCACAAGTGAACTTCCGGACGCCGATCGTTCCGGAAAGGTCTGTCTTTACGCGCAGCAATCCTAATCATAGTTGGCTTATGATAGAGCAACCACAACAGGAATTTTTCAAGTCCTGAATCCTGGAGGACAAATCCGCGATCCTGTAGATGCTCTGTTTCTTGTCCGAGGTCGTGTGTTGGTGTCAATCACAAATCGGGGAAATGTCTACATGTTGTCACTACAAGAACCGACTTCCTTTTTTGTGTATCTGTGGGAATCTGTATGAGAGACCAAAGCCTTCTAGGAAATGATTGTGACTCTGTTCGAGATTATGTTTATGGGAAGGTTTTCGTCTGGCGTGCCTCGTGCAGCTGTTGAGTTGGTTTTCAAAAACGCTCCGTGCACCTTTCGGAAAATGACGTGGAGCAACCCAGCCTCCCGGCCGCGCCGCGTTCACGAGTGAAACACCATACATTGCTACCATGTCGATCAACATCGTCGCCGATATCGCTCCTCCACAAAGAAACAGCTTGCAAGAGCCTGCCACACTAAGCGTCTTAAGGCTGCCATGGCCTCGCTCCATACAAAGCAGGGGGCACACGATGCAACCTTGCTACAATGCGCCACTTCCCATAGTCCGTTCGCGTCATTAGCTTATATCTACAACAATAGCCTTGTACGAGGCACCACGACGCCTCGCCACCGACTTTCCAGCCCTGATCTCTATCCGCTCTCCTTATGTAGGCGTCCGCAAGACTACCTTGCGCCTGGATGGGGATATCGCTGATAACGTTTTTGATGCTAGGATAACAAGGGGGTATTGCATACGAACCTGTTTGATTTCAGCTTACATGTGCCTACTGACTACCAGTCAATCCATATGGTTGAGCTTTATTTCAGATTTCAGTGCAACGAATCGCACTAGGCACACGTTTGAGATGAATACGTACTCAGCCAACCACCCGGACTGGTAAGGCTCGAGCCACACCACAAGTTGTGTACGGTCTGTCGTCGTGGATATACCGAAACCCAACAGCGCGGGTCCTGTCAGCACGCAGAACACCCTTGTTACTACTCACCCGCTGAGGCACTATCCACCATGGCTATGCGTCCAAGGCACGTCCGAGGTGGCGTATCGTGCTAGCTGCTCCCAGTAACCACATCTAGCTAAACTACTCCAAGATTCTCTGGCTCAGCTTCCAGCCCTGTGGACAACGCCTCATTGGTACTGGAACGGCCCCTTTGCTATGTAGGATTTTCGGCAGAAGATGAATATCTTAGCCCGAAGCTTAGCATCACGCAAGCCGAACGTCGTAGACGATCAGTCATTGAGTGAATCTCTTAATCCTCGTTCTGTCTGACTCTCTAAAATGAACAAGTCCAACACGGCTCAGTCGACAAGCCCCTGAACAATTCCTGAGCTTCAGCATATTTTATTCAAAACGCTCGCACTTTTGATCGGTTGACTGTCCCTTTCCAACGTTGACTCGAAGCGTACAGTGACAACAGTGGGCACATGCGGCATACAACAGTTCAATTTCTCCCACCGAACCAAACATTCGAACGCGATGGATGTAATGACCTCCATTGCTTCACGAGGCTCGTCTTTTCACGTATCTACTCAGCCTCAGCAACACAACCCGTACGCTAGAATGCCGTCGAGAAGAGCGATAGCATGCGTTACATGCGCCAAAGCAAAGACTAAGTGCAACAAAGCGGTATGTGAGAATCGCGTATATTCCGCCTGACCGAATTTCCCAACACTAACACTTCATAGTTACCTTCATGCTCTCGGTGCATCACTAAAGGTATCAAATGTCAACCGAGATCCACTCGTCGCACATCAGACAACCACGGTCGATCAAGCGTCAAGAAACAACCTAGATTACCGGGATATCCTGCTGCCAAAGCTATCTCAAATCGACACTTACATGTCTCGTCTGTTAGCTTACCTGTTTCCAAAGAGCCTGGAATTACCTCTGCCACACCTTATGTTGATTCCGAAAGTACCGCAACATCTAGTTGTCAGGAGTCAGGACTTCCGAGCTTTCCTATGCTCGCCCCGATCCTATCGCAAGGGCCACAAGTTTCTTACAACTGCTATGCTCATGTAGACGGCCCCATGTATGACCCGAGCATCTTCGCGCGGCCTATGGATGCGGACAATCATCTCCACCTAGGCGCTATATCACCACAGACACCCAGCCCAGTCACCCTTTACGAACACGTATCCGTATTGAACGATCTGGATTATCACCAGTACGATGATTCGTGGTTTAATGAAATGCACATGTTAGATGGAGTTGAGTTCGAAGTTAGTGCTGCGGGTTTTCCACAGGAGAGATGGGTTGTACCAAACTCCACAAACATGGTGCCAACAGCGCAGGTACCATGGTCTCTTTATGACCTCCCGGATCTACTGCAATACAAGCTGGACGAATCAGTATCACATCTCGGCGGGATGGCCTCTCCAGCCCAGTACCAATTCGGAAATGACCTGGACTCAATTCAACCTGAATCGACGTTTTACAGACCTACTGTCACCGACATGACGGTCCTCACATCAGCACCGTTCTTGTACGACTTGAATGCAGCGACAAGTTATGCACCAGTCTGGGAGGGCTGACCTATTCCACAGCGATGCTATTGTTACACTTGACGATGTACACTCACGGTACATTGGCGCTCTGCGATGTGTGTATCACACAGTACATATTTCTATCAGAATTGCCGTTTTTGTCGCTGTTTTCTCTTCCTACCTGCAGTGTCCGTTCTGCTTGCAGCCCCATGCTATGAGCGGCCTTCTGCATTAGCCAAGAAACGTGTTTACTACCTTTTCCACGAGGATCCTGGTACGTACACTATTCCAAGTGATGCAACCAGGCTCGTGGCGTTCAGAGGTGTAGTCGGTTAGTCTTACCACGCGAGCGGTTGAACGGCTAAATTTATCTCTTTCACAAGATTGGTTCTCGCACACCTACTCATCACCGATTCTCCGTGCATCGGGTGAGCCCCAGCGAGCTTGCGCCTCACCACAAGCCCACTATGACAACGCTGCTACCCATTGCTCCCACGCGAAAAGATCACCCTGCCTCCACTATCATACTCTTATCAGAGCCATGGTTTGTCTGATATGATCTTCAACCATGCAGCCGAGGTCACACAAATGCTGATCATATGACACCGACGGAATATCTTAGACAAGCCTTTCGTCTTCATCGGACTTCACAACCCATTTGCCACTCCGAATCACTGGCGACCTTCCACGGTGATACTTGCATTGCTTACGTGTGTATACCACATCAAATTCCTAAGGTCTACGCTAAAGAACTCGAGGCAAGGTACCAAAATGCGTATACGTTTTTGCGCATGAGTACCTCGTGGCTGCATGCATGGTGCCTGGACACAACATCTGAGATGCATACGAGAAAGAGGCACAAATCAAGCAAAGCCTGGTTCAGTTTGTTGCTATGCAACCAGGAGAATATTGTATGAGTGGGCCGCGCATTGATTGGTAGATGTAGAAGACTGGCTGGGAACAGCGAATCAGGGTTTCACGCGCACCTGTCAGTGGCTGATCACTGGTTTAACACACAGCCGTAATGAGGAAGTTTTTTCCCAATTGGACGGCTGCGTCACAGCTTCAGATGCGCCCTGACATCATTAGAGACGTTCATGAGGAAGGATGAACTACTGTACATAGTGCAACCTGTTGCTTTTCACTCTGAACACTGCTTCGGCCCGTCGCGGAGGCCTAATCGCTACAATCTGACGGACCGTCCCATCGTTCACGCCTCATGCCGCATCTCTTGCGAACACAGTGCCGTAGCCACTCACACAGCGGCTAGAACGCCACGGCGCTTGTCAGACACGGGCACAGCTCATCCGTAAAGGATGCGTATGGCTTACTCGGCAGATCCTGCAGTTGTATTCCATCCCTAGCAGCAGTTTCGGCGCTATTTAGCGGTATGCAGTATCTTGTCTAGGCCTTCTTGAACTCTTGGTCCTTCAAGTCACTTCGTATCACAGCAAACCTTGTAGGTCCTCCGAGCAGGCAGTGTCGCGTCCCTCCTGGTGGCTTGCTCTCGGTCGGTAGTGTCATCCCCAACTGCAGGTACTGTGTTCCTTCGTCGTTCGTGTCATCATTATATGTGTGTATGGGTGGGTGCTCTGTCAGAATGCAGGAACGATGAACACTCAAAAGCACAGGCGCACAGGATTCGTGTTGCTCATGCTACCCACACAATCAATGCGACAACTACCGTATGGGAAATGTTACCAGCTCACTGGATTCCGCAACCACCAACCCGGTAGCAGTTGGTCGTATCTGGGGCCATTCGGGTCATATAACCGTTCCTCCGGCCGCTGGAAGCACTACCTGAACGCATGGAGGCAAGACTATAGTCTCGCTACCGCTGGCCCTTGTCAACTTACGAGGTTTGGGTGACTGATACAACCCGGGTCGAACAGGTGACATGCTCTCAAGCCATGATCACCGCCATCATGTGTGCTGTATCTTACTGTTTCGATAAATATTTGGCTTTCTTATTGGCTGTCTCCGTGCTCACTCCCGCCTCCTCCGCTTCGTAGACATGCTCGCTTACGGCACGGACAATGGGTTCATAGCTAAATACGCCTCCACTGGCAACGCATTACCATTTGTTGTTTGCAACGGTTCTGAGCACACCACTCACCGAGAAGCCAGGAAATCACTCCCACCGCTCCGGTAGCAAATAGAACCTTGCTTTTCTCAACATGGGAACAGGGAACTGGCCACATAGGCAACTGAGATAGCACTTCTACACTAACAGAGCCCCTTTGTGGCACGGACACTGTTTCAACGAGGATGGTAGAGGTGGGTGTGGTCTGTGAGACATGAGCTTGGTAGGGATTAGTCACTTCGAATATGATCAGGCCGAGCCATAGCACATGGAATTGGGATCTGGTGTAGGTAAGGTGAATGCTCTCTCTATCAACACCAAGTCTATCGCTGGGATCCAGTCGCTTTGATCAGGCCGTTACAGGCCATGTCACATAGAGCAACGATGGACCACGATCGTGCGGTCTGTGGAAGAGGTTTTGCTAGTGAAAGACGACGTAGCAAGGCAGAAACGATGTGACCGCGTTGGCCGGTGAGATCGAGAGCAGAGTAAGGTGTCCTCAGCCGAGGATGACAGGGTTAGTCTTCACCCAGATAGTCTTTTTTGTCCACCAAAGATGGGTGATCAGCTCTCTCCTAGCTGCAGGTTCCAGCTGAGGCAAATCTTGTAAGATGCTACTTGCCTTATCGACGCCGTCTCGTTCCAAATATCTTGATCCTTCCCGTGTCGTCCCGACCCTTCCTTCCTGCAGCAAATACTTTCCAAGGACTGCCATTTGACTCAACACTAGCTCAACCGTACCTAGTCAACGGTGTTTCCGCGTGATCGAAACACGATGATGGTGTGACCAGATACCAAACGACCCACCACCGACGCGTAATCGCCCTGACATGCTGACGCCTTGGCTTGGTTCTAGGACTCGCTCCACGTTACTCACCTCGCGGAAAACGAATACGATATTCACCCGGTTGAGAAGGTTGCGAGGAGATGATTGGGACATTATGCTCGTCTGATCTACAAGACCTAGAGGTGGTGGCGAAGAGGGCTGCTGCGGTTACTTAACCACGACACGTAGAGCGGTAGCCGAATGCGGGCTCAGGAAGGAGTGAGAGTAAGTGTGGCGTCTGACAAAACGCGATAGGACTGCGCAGTAACCACTCCGAGAATCGGAATACAAGCGAAGCTCTGTCCCCTCGGAAACCGGGGGAACAATACTCTTGTTGGTCGAACCACGGGAACGCATTTTGGTATCCGAACTGTCCCTAGGATGTCAAGACGCCTCAATAGCCTTTGTAGGTGAACAGTAGTACCCGTCTATTTCTTCCTGATGGTTTTCATCCATCTATGGGGCAGATAGCACGTATCTTATCAACGTGTGGCTGAAGTACTGGTTCCTCGTCTCTTAATACAGGAAAAAGAGTGTTGAGATTGTCTACCTCACGTCTTACGGCCTCGTCAGTCATGTCTTGTAATGGGGTGATAAATTCGCATGTCGTGCGCCGAGCCACAATGACTTGAGCATGCTTCTCCTGTACCAACGTCAGCTCTCGCTACCTAATGCAAACATTGCCTATGATTATACATGGTCGCGCTAGACCAAAGCGACTACGCAGCAACATATGATAGTCTAACATACCTCAAGAATATGCTCACACACCTCCACGTACTCCTCAGCTTCCCAGAAGCTAAACCCTACGACCACAGAAATCTGCCTCAGGACCTTCCCGTTCCTGTACTCCTCAAATTGCAACCGTCCATGTTCCAGATCGGATCGGACTTTCCAACGCCTCGACACCTGAAGCGACGTAAAGTTCTGCAACATGTTGTACAGCAAAGAAAGAGAAAGGAAAGGTTGTGTGCCGTCATGAACAATACAGATCCTGTTCAACTGCTTGATGTCTCTTTCCCACATGATTCGCCACAGTAACTGAACAATGAGCTCTCGGCCTGGGCCTCCAATGCCTTTCTCGTGATGTTCTGGACGGTAGCGGATGAACAGTTCTTCTAGACCTGTGAGACCTGCACGAGCAAATCCGAAGCTCTTGACGCGTCTACGGTTTACGTCTGCCGTATACGCTTCCGTGAAATCACAGGGAAGCCTGATTTGAAGTTTTCGGACAGTTGATGTGGATGCTGGGGATAAGGCGCTAGTTTTTCGGCTCAGTTCGTCTGCCGGCGACCACTTAGTGTTGAAAATTGTTGCGGACCAGGCAAGTGCGTGGTATTCCTCGTACAGTTGGCGACATGTCGACGACAGTGCCAATGGAGAATTGCACACTGGAAGAGGTGCGGTGCCGGGGTCGCGGACGAAGACGTAGTCTATGATCTGATTCTTTAATTCACCTGGTAGCAGAACAAGAGGCGACCTTTGTGTCATTGTCATTGAGATCAGTCATTTAGAACGTAGACATGCGAAGAACGCGTAGGAAACGCGCACTGAAACTTTCCTGACGGCGAATTCGGTGGGTTAGTGATGATGTCGCCGTTGCGGAGCGCGTGTCATGCTATGTGGGGCTCACTGTTGACACTTAGTCAAGATTCAAGGTCTCATATCGAGATTGCCTCGGATTCTGCACTCACTCATCGCTATTGATTGATGATTTCCGTAGATATTTCAGAGCCTTCGTTGCACGCTGGAGCCCAATGACACACCTCTATGCATAACTATCACGCAAACTTGACAAGTGCTCTCTAAAAAGGCTCTCTCTGCTGTGCTTTACCGACAGCCCACTTCTAACACAATCCCACGCAGCATAGCATCAAGGTATCATTCTCTCGTCCAAGAACTGCTTGATGTACGAGGTATCAGAAGTTTAGATAAGCTTTGCGCCCAATATAGGCATCGCCAACATGCGCGACTCCAGCCAAACTCACCTGGGATTCACCCTGCCTCCCCAGTTTCCCTCAGTCTGCACCTGAACAAATGGGCTGAAACATATTCAACATGAAATGAACCACCAAAGATTTTGTCAGCTCGCGACCGCTGCAACATAACAATGCTGCCTACCCCGCCTAGGCTTGGGTCGACGTAGCACCTTGGGCGATTTGGCGTTCATCTACTTACTATCAAATCGGGATGGAAATCTATAGTGCACAACCAAACTGATATCATTGGCGATAGGAATTTGCACTGTCTTCAAGATCAAATTTCGCGTGTGTTCTTTTGGGTCATGAGGACTCATGTTAGGCGTTTCGCTCTATGGAAGAGGCTTGATCGAGACATAACCATTCGTCTGTAAAGTTACAAGCACCGACAGCTGGATAAGACTGTTGAGATCCACTGGATTCCAGTACACAGGGCCGCGTATCCATGCCAGCAGCTGTCTTAGAGTTTAGTGTTTTTATGCTGTTAGTCACTTTGCTCTTGCTATACACCTGCGCACATTGTCCGTAAACCCATGATGTTTTTTGAATTGTTCGCAAATGGCCTCTGAGATGTTTTCAACCGCCTTGTCGTGAGCAACACTATCTCTCAGGAGCTTCAACAAGCTCGCGACGTCTCCGGCAACCCCGGACCTTACGATGACTTCTTGCTCGAAGCCTTTCCCATCTACAGGCTTGGGCACACAAATTTTACTTGCGGCCGAGCTCCGTTTCCAGTCCACAATGCCGATACTATGGAGATAGCCGCCATTGTTGCTGAAGCAAGGTGGGGCTCATGTACGGGTATGTCAGCGGTGACTACCATGGATGGATCGATGTTGGCGACCCAAAGCTCCAAAATACCTCCATGCAACTGTGGAGCTATTACCGCGATGGCGCAGGATCATTAGCCTTCTCGTGATGTCGGGTGCTAGCTGCTAGCGAGCGGATGTTTAGCTGGAGTGGCCGGCTCAACCTTCCGAGGCTACCACGCTACGTCGCACTACAAAGTCACTCGCACGTTGTCGACCATGGTATGCACTACAGTGACGTTGTAGACACGATAGGCCATGCAGCGGATTGCATCATGAAGAATGCAAAGCAGAAGGTGAGAAGTGGAAGGCGGATCGGACATACGGCTGTGGCGGCGTTAAGCGACAGCCAGGGCAGTCATAGTCTGCCCGCAGACGGCAGTCGACAGGATGCGTAAGGCGAAGAGACGAAGAGTAAGAGAGCAAGAAAGTGCAGACAAGCTCAGTGTTCAACTGCAGTCTGTCTTGTTTTGTCTTATCGCTGTACCGGATGGGCTAGGAAGCGTGGTGCATCTGATGGCGTTCGGCGGCATATCCTGGCATCTAGCGTCATGATTATTTCGCATCTTCAGCATCAACCCTGTCGTCAGCCTCGCGACCCGCCAACGGCTGCAAAGATTGTGCATCAACACCACCATGCTACCCAGCTGAGATAACGAGGGCGCGCGGTGCTCTACCCCTCCCTGGACGTGAATTTGGCGCATCGCCACTACGGTGGTTGCAGATCTTCCGAGGCAGCCGGGTGCGTGTAGGGTCCCTGCGGTGATCCTGTCGCTCGTCACTTCACGATTTACGACTAGACTCGGCTCTCCTTGGCAGCTTGCGACGCCCTTTCCTCAAACACCCAAGCACTCCCGCCGTGCATTCTCTGCACTCAACAAACCGACGGAGCCTCCATGGACTGCTGCAGCGCTAGCTCGGTATACGAGTGCCATATTTGAGCCCATTGAACCCCCACAGTCGCTTCAGATCCCTCCCGGAAATTTGCCGAGTCGTATACCCACGCCGAGGGAAGGTGTGCTCGAGGCTGCACTCGTCGACACGCCAGACGGCAGGCACGACTCTCGTTATCCCGCCCAGCACACTGCTAGATGCGACGGCGCTCGTCCGCAGACCCAAGCTCCGAGCAGGGCCACGCCGATTCCACCGCCGACCATTCACCCGCACCAATTCCGGAACATGAGGATAACCTCGACCGCCAGACTGAGGCATCGCTAGTGAACGTACAGGGCTGGGCCAACAAGGGTAGGCCAAAGGAGGAGGCAGGCGGGTCTGCACAGCGTCTGGCCACGGACCCAGTCGCCGTATTCCACTCTCCCACCGCTCCACGACTACCTCCACTCATGGCGCACCACAACGCCGACTCAACCATCGGCGC